TTTCTTTACTTGTGTTTTTTCTAATTTTAACTCGTTTTTGTTGTTGTTTTTTTTTGACATTTTTCCGACTTCTTTTTTTGACTTGTTTTGACTTGTTCGAGTTATTTTGTTGATTATTTTGACTTGATGTGACTACTTGTATTTTGTTTGTTTGTTTTTTTTGTTTTTTAATCTATATTGGCCTTACCATATTTTTATCATGGTAGTGGTTTGATCCGTGTTCTTGAGGTCAGACCCATGGGACTAGGCCTTGGCATACGACATCGAACGATGCGTTCGTCGACATCAGGTGAGGGTGCCACTGGAACGGTGTTTTGGCGGAGACAGCGTGGTGAAGCTGGGATAGAGACCTGGGAGACCCAAGCACTCCATGTATACCATATATATTTATTATATTACCATATATGCCGATCAAGCCAGACCCCTCTGGCACCACCCCTGGCCGTTTTGAACGCAGTCCGCCAGTCCCAAACAGGTCGTGTCTGGGATAGAGACCCCAGACCCGGGGCCTTGTGTTGACCCCCCCCGCCGACTAACACGGACCCTGAAGATTGACCCAGTGGTTTCGATGTTCCAAAGACCAACCCGACGTGGTTTTGGGGGTTCCATATGCGAATCGCAGCGGAGTACCTTTTATGGTTGATCAGTGGGTATGGCTTCGCAACAGCCGTGCGTTCTTGTACATTGTATGGCCTCCCAGGATTAAATTGAAACAAGTGGTTGTGCGGGCAACGCAGTCTTGAAACAGTTGTATTTAGCACCGTCACCTTAATCGTTGTTCTTTTTTTTCGTGGCGGGACTAGCAGGAAGGTCCAGGCATTTAGCCTTCATGATACCGTGGAAGTGGAGTTCCAGCGTATGTTTAATACCCAAAAATTTGGTTTTGTGAACCGTGAATGCAGACGGTCACACCAGGGTCACACCATGTAATTGACCCATCCTGATCACTGAAGTCTCCTGGCGGTCTCAAAAATTGTGGCAAGGTTTTGGGGTGATTTGGGAGTGTCAAAAACCCTCTTGGAGAAGTTGGTGGCTTGAGTTGACTGCTAGGGGAACCCACCAAACCTGAAGAACAGGGAGAAGAGAGTTTTGGTGTGAACACAATAACTAAGTTTTCATGTTCTTGCCAAAAAGTAGACATTCACCAAGAGTCACAAAGGGGCTTCAAAGGGGTGGTGTTTAGTCCCTAAGTGGGTGGATAATGGGCACACCTATCCCCTATCCTCCAATAGGCACCTGGTAGCATCATTTAGTCACCTGTACTCATATTGCCACATCTGCCCTACATGGCCAAGGTGATTTTGGCCAAGGACCGTGCCAGTGAGCAACGACGTGCCGTGAAGGTGGGGCGCGGGGAGAATGTCAGTGAAAGAGATGATATGGATTTTAAGCTTGGAATGCTCACAACATAGCATGAAGAGAGAATTGAGATTGCTCTACAATGGTCTATAGGATGCTTGGTCTCCAATCCTTATGTTTGTTAAAAACCAAACGTTCGACATGTCACAGGTCCCCTTTGGGGCCCCATGGCTCTGAGCAGGGAGAACGACGCCCGTCGGGTCGGCCTTCAACGGCTTGGCGAACGGGGGCGACCGGGGCGAGCGGTTTTCTCGGGTTCTCATGTCTGCTCAGAGGGTTCACTCACCCCCAAAAGGCACCTAAGCCACCTAATTTGGACCAGGAGCTTGTTGAGTGAGGCGTGAGCATGTCTGAACGACTTGAGATGAAATACCCGTGTTTTGCTTGATCATGCTTGGCACGTGGACATTTTCCAGCCCGGAGCCTGTCAGGGGACGCTAGACACTGCGGGGACTGTACATCATGTATTTTTCTGTTTTTGGACTGCACCGGCGGACTACCAGACCGTCCAACATTCCACCCAAGACCATTCGGAGCTTCACTAGTGTATCGCTTGCGTCATTTGGGGCGCGGACATTTTCTCCAAGGAATCAGTGTCGCAGCTTCCCGAATCGTCATTCCCCACGGACGTTCTCGTTCAACGCTGGGTGAGGTGGTCAGCCTTCGAGTGTGTTTCGCGGCAGGTGGTCCATAAGACACCTGGAGGCCAAGAACTCAAGGAGGAGAACCGGCGGTTCCACGGTCCCCCACCGGCCCCCCCCCGGGCCAAACCGTACTGGAAGAGGAGTCGTTTGGATTGGAAGTGCGAGCAAACCGTTTGGAGGGCACCCGAACCGTTTGCCTGGGTCATGGAGATGGGCGCCAGCTTGGGGGTTCCTTCCTGATTAGATATTCTGTAATATAGACAGGGGTTGTTGACGATTTTATTGGTGGAATAAGACTACGTCACTACGTGCGGATCTGAAAACCGATGATCAGTGTGTCATTTTTCTGCCTAGTTCTCTCTCCTCTGAATATGATATGAGAGCGGTCTTGCTGTCCGCCTGTCCTCCTGAACTCAACTCTCTCTCTCTCTATAATAATTATAGCTGCCTAGGGCCTAGCTTGCGGTTGGTTGTCAGTGTCTTGTGCAGGTTTCCTGTTTGCCGTTCCTTCAACAAGGTGATTTCCTCGAGAACAAGTCCTTTACCTTTACACTTTACATGTCCTATAGGGGCCACTCCTTGCTATCAAATAGAGGTATCAACTGTATTCAATTGTACAGTGATGTGGTTGTAGGTCAAAACCTGGTGGAAGGTCGTTCGCTACATGGTGGACCAGACCTCCAGGGTGTTTTTTTTGGACACATCCCGGATGTGTTTTCGGAGATGGCACACGACCACGCCGCGCCCCAAAGCCAGCAACTCAATGTGCGTGGATCCAATTGGAAACATACCATGGGACCATCCCTTCGGAGTCTTACCACCCCTACACGACTCCCTACACGACAAGCCTGAGACGTTTCCTGATATGTCTGATCTGTGACGCCCCGAAACGGAAGGGTCCATTCCAGATACAAACCACTTTCGTATCTTTTGGACATCGCTTGGGACGGTTTTTCGTTCACTTCGCACAGCCGAAACATTGACGGTGCGGCAGGAGCAGTTGAAACTTCAGGAGCTGAGTTTCCAGCGCGCGCCTTGGACAGCCGAAGGTCGTGTCAGGCGGTGGGGGATGGCCTGGTCATCGAAAACGTGGGTGGAAGGAGGAGGAATGTCCGGCAAAAATTCACAATAACCTCCAGAAGAGATCCTTCCCCTCAACAAAAACCGTCAAATTCTGGAACCATTCGCGGTTCTCTCCCAGGGCTCCAACCATATCCTCAGGTTCGGTGGTTAGACCGCATGTGGTTGGAGCCCTTTTTCAGGCTCCAAAACCTTTGACTGCCGAGGAAGTGAAGGTGCTGTCGGCCTTGGACCATCCACACATCGTCCGCCTCCATCAGCACTTCGAAGACCCCCAGGCCGCACCAAACGCGTGGTGACGCCCACGACCGAGGACGGTGGGAACCGACTTACACGTCGACCCGACCGACCCGGCCCCCCCCAAATACCAGGACCCTCCAAGGGGTGTACTACAAACAACCTTTTTTTAAGAGGTGTCCAAAAACCACCTGTTGGAAGGTCCTGAGTCCTGAGTCAGAGAGAAAAGTGGTTGGACACCGTTTCTCTCTCTGTTGGAAGGACCACTCATCTGCAGGCTGTGACAGCCTGTGATCTCTGAGTCGGAGGTTCTGGGTTCACAGGACCAGATCATTAGGGTATGGAGTTGGACCCTACCAGCACCCTCCAACAGGTCACCACCTGACACCTTTAAGTATCCAAAAGCTACCAGAGGAGACCTGTACAGTCGGGTGCTGGTACAGATTGACCCATTCTACTCCGATGCTCCGACAGTGGGGACGAGATGTGTTGTGCTGGGTCTTTGGATCTACAACATCACACCCTCAGAGGATCAGAGGCACTGCAAGTTTTAGCCATCAAGTAGCGCTAGTCAAGTCATCTACGGGGTATTCCTGGAGATTGACACTTTGGGCATGGTAGATGTCCGGCCACTGTAAAGGACAGGTACCTCTCAGCTCAGGTTTGGCAGTAAACAATCTGAAGTGTGTTTGGAATCCCAAAAATGTATTCATGAATACCCAACCCATATCCTCCGCGGAAACAGTCAGGGGTATCTAAAGGTCACCAAATCGCTTAACAAGTCTTCACAAGTCTTCATTCCGGTCGAAACCGCGCAGGCTTGGTACTTGGTCCTCGACTATTGTCCCTGTGGTGATTTGGTCACTTTGATGGATGAGCACCGGGAGCCTCTTGGCTGAAGGAGGAAGGACATGTGTGCGCCATGTAGGGCCATACACAGCAGGGCCGGGCTGTGAGATCTCGTGTTCCGGTCCTTTTCGATGCGTTTCGATGCCTGGCTGCGCTGAAAAGAAATCACCTCGAATGTACCCTCCACCAAGCCGAACTACACACAGGAGCAGGTTGCAAGACGATGTTCCCATCTCAGGTGCTGTTGGCTCTTGCTTTTTTTCGGCGGGTCTAGTTTTTTACTGCAAACGGCGCCCGGACTATATAATTAGCAGCTTCAATCACGAATTGCAGGAATGGGCATCGGAATCCCAGGCGTGGGCAAAGGAAGATCCAAGGACCAATCTGATTGGAATATGATGGAATATGCATGAATATGCAAGTTTTCTATAGTTGTCTACTGTATACCAGGATCATCCAATCGGTGTCCAATAGACTATACCCTAGCATATCCTAGCATACTTACGGGTCTCCAGACAAGGCACCCGTTGGAAGTGCTAGCTATGGTGCTTTGGCTCATTCGTGGATCTGTACTCGCCCCCGACATCCCCAGACCATCCACGTCATGCCAGAAAGACGGGTTTATTCCATACATGCCCAGATGCTGTTCACCACCCCAAACCATCCCAACTTGAGGCCATCTATATAGGCACCTGGATGGATGGAGTTGCTGGACTCGGAAAGCATCACGTTGAAGCTCCATACCTTCGTTCCGCTCCTGCTCCGGCGCTGCCGCGACCGACATCGACCGAGCTGACCGGTGCCGCTTGACCGAGGGAAGGCCATAAGACCATGCCGTTGCCCTTCAGCCTGAAGGTCCTCCACCAGGCCGCCCCCCTTCGTTCACGATCGCGAGCGGACCAAAGGGGTTCGGACCTCTGGACCCCAGCGATTGAACCGCAAAGGACTCAGGACAGATTGCAGTGTGCTAGTTCGTTCACCGACTTTGGTCTTGTATGTTATGGTATGTTTACTATCTCTTGGTGTTTCTCATGAGCATGTTTTCAGCACGCCCCTTTGAGGGCCTCAGAGTGGTCAGAGGGGCCCGTGCAACAACACCAGTCTCGGTCGAAAAGCCCTGTTGGCAAGATCAAACCAACCAGGATCGAAGAACCTGTAGCGATTGTTCGAACAACTCCGGGACCGTCCCGAACTGTGGCTTTCAGCACTTTTTCCAGGATATGAGCCGCAGGTGTTTCTCAAATGTGAGCGTTGACTTTCTCCGTTTTTGCAACATAGTACATTGGGACTTGCTTCGACAGACTTGGTGGCGGAGGCGCCGCAAGTAGCATTTGCACACAATAGCGGAGGCGCCGAAAAAAACCCTGGCCTTATTAAAATAGCAACATTTCGGCGCATGCCGCATATTCATGTAAGTTCCAATAGTGCTGGTCATCACTTGTTGACGGACTAGGCCCGGGTGTTGCCTGATTATGAGCCCATGAGTAGCGTTTAGTCTTTTGACTGCCAAGTACACGTTTCAGTATTTTCTTGAAGGAGTCTTGTCTTTTGCATCGAAAGAGGTTTCAGAGTACAAGGCATGGCAGAACTCTCGTTCTTCCGATTTTGACACATGGCGCATGCATGCGCATGCTAGCTGCTATCCTAAAGGGCTTTCAACCAACATCAGTGCAGTGAGCAGTGAGAGCAGTGGGAGCAGTGTGAGTGTGAGCAGTGTGTAGTAAGAGGAGAGAGAGGCAGAGCAAGAGCAGTGAGAATAGTGAGAGTTCGCAGAGACGGGAGGGTGCAGTGAGAGCAGTGAGGTGCTGAGGAACAGTGGGGCAGCAGTGAGTGGTCATGTCTCGTGTGTTTCTCAGAAAGCCGAGGTGCTGTTGGCATTGGCTCACATGCACAAGCACCTCCGTTGCACGAGCCGCGCAGATGATCGCAGATCGGTGTTTTTCACAGGGAGTACATCGATGGGGAGGTCTAATACATAGGGATTTCCTGTTGGAAGGTCCAAGAAGATGATACTGTTGGCACGTGTGTACAGGACACTGAAAATAGCAATCAAGTACCCCCCCCAATAGCAAGCTGGCAGGCATGAAATAGATTTCTACTACTCCGTCATTTAGGTCCAAATTGTGAGAAGCCAGAGACGTGTCATCAGCAGTAGGCCAATCATTTATTCGATCCTTTGCCACCGTACATACTCGATTTGTCTTCTTTCTTCCCACGTGCCGTTATCGTGGAGCATGATGTATTCGTCTTCTTCTTCCCGCTGAGGAGGCAGATGATGCATTTGGACATCAAAGGCCAAAACTTGATGTTCCAGGTCTCCTATCGAGGCCCGTGTTCCGCGCCGTCGGCCGCGTTCTTTTTTCTGCCTGAGCTTCTCGGTCGTTGTAGAAGGCTGGTGACTGAGTGGGAAACGCAGATGAAGCGAAGTGGATCTTTGTTTGAGGCACCGGTTACTTGCTGTTCCTTGTATTGACGGTCCAATGGTGCGCAAAATGACACGTCACAGACCCGTCGACCAGGACCCCCGGTTCGAGGTGTCTAATCATAGCCCCTTAGAGGTGACGGTGTCTATGATGGTGACCATGAACCACCCCAACCCAGGGCCCCTGGTATAAATCGGAAAAACTTGGAACTCAACAATCCTCCTGCACTCCAAACCTCAATGCCATTGGAAGAAGGTACGACAGTGGCTACAGGTCGGGAATGGCTGGGAGGTCCTTTCTGGGTGGCACAGGCCACCACCCAGAGAAGCTTTATTGCACACTATACTCTATACACCTAATAGCAATGGCCTCCAAATTGGGAAGCAATGCAAGCATAGACTCATCTCCAAAGAATCTAGACCTTGACATGTCCTCAGTCTCAAGCACCTGAGACAAGGACCTGACTCCTGCCAGAGCGACTGCCACTCATCTTTAAAACGTCCCTGGAACAATCATGGAAGTAAGTAGTACATATACCTAGCGCTTCCTGTCCGGGTGCTCTGTCTGGAGGCCTGGAGACGTAGTGTGGAGATATCCATGACCCGCAGCTGGCACATGGCCCATGTGTATGGCTCTCGAAAGGATGAAACGTCACCGAGTCGACCGAACAGTTGGTGCCATCCACGTCATGGATGGTACCCAGACGCTCCGTTCACAGCCCGACTGGTCCCTCAAATCCTGGGGGATTTGAGACCCCGTTCGACCCCTCCAGAGGATTCGGGTTCGACCCCTCCATATGAGGGTCCATGAGCGTTTGGGTAACAAGTATTCGGATTTCCAGGGTTCGCGACGCGAGTCGTCCCTTCCGAAGCAAACGGGTCGTACAGGGTCTGCCGTCGTCGGTGGTCGGTCAGATACCATCTTGCCGCACGAGCGTGCTGGGCACCCGGCACCGATGATGGTCATGAAGGCGTGGCGAGTCGGGTCGGTCGAGGGCCGAGCGCTGAATCGACGCAGGAGAATGGTACCCAGAGACCCGACCGTTTGGTTTTCCACCGCACATGAATCGAGTGCCAGGCAGGTCAATCTTCCAGAGTTTGGGGCTCCAGGTTTAACATAGCCTAACATGGGCGTGTACTAAATAGGGTGGCACAGTGGTACAGTACTTTGCTCCATGTCCATTCTTTGGAAGTGTTCAGCTCATGCAGTGGCAAGGTTTGCTGCTGGGTCCAACGAGTCGCAGGTTTGCAAGACTTAGGCTGTTTGAAACAGTTTGGTCACCTTTTGGGGCGAGGTAGGGGGGTCAGGGTGTCCAGATCGATTCGTTTAGAGGGGATGGCTCGCGCGTGTCGTCCCATGGACGGTCCAGAGCGACATACCTTCGGAGACCTTCGGGGCTTCGGCCTTTGGTGAGCGGAAGATCAGGGGCTTCGGGCCATCGCCATCGCGTCGTGACACCCCGCTCTGGGCTTCCGGCTGCCAAACACCGGGTGCCTCGACTCGGGGGGATGAAGGGGGATGCCCCACTTTCCAGCTCGGAATGGCCCCAGGCACGGGCCTATCCTCCGCTTCGGCACCACCGACTCCCCACCGGCCCCGCCCACGGTGGCGGCCGACCGAGCCGGGAGAAACGGGAGAAACCGGTCGACGCGGAGGCGCCCCACGTGGTGCTCGTGGATTTCGGCACCGCGCGAAGGATGGAGGAGGTGAAAGGTGAGCCCATTGGCCACGCGGCGGCGAGTCGGGTCGATCTAAGAAGGTCGGACCGGGAGTCGCCCAAGGTCGGACCGGCAGTCGGACCAGGAACCTTTTGAAGGTGGACTCTCAGATTTTTGGAAAGGCCTGATGGTATGCCTTTGTCTAAGTTCTAAAGCAGAGACCCCCAGAGTTAAACGAGAACCCTTCGCTACGCATTCGGGAACAAACTACACCACCATCGACCCCAAACAGCAGCGGCAGCTTGATGTTTCTTTTTGCCAATGTCGGTTAGAGATTGTCACTCTGTTTGAGATGTCGGTCTGTAAGCTAACCATCATTTGCATCATCCCACTGGGGCCACCAGTGATGGGATAGACCCAGTCGTGAGACCATGTGAGACATATTTTGACATCAAGAAGGCCAAGCTTTGACTGGGAGGTTCAAGGGAACATGGAGAGACAAGTCTTCCCACTCAAGAGGACCTTTCTTGCCACACTCAAGAGGACACGTCGCATCGGCAAACACACAAGAGGACCACGGCTTTTACGCGTCATACCGAGGTCATGTCGTTCTTAACGACCGCATAAACAAAGCCATCCAAACCCAAACCCAAAGATACATTAATTTACAATATGAATGTTTGTAAATGAAGCGACACACACACATAATATTTGTATGATCATGGTGGCCAATTAATGGCTTTGTCATACATCGATGTGTATCATATGAGCGACCGACAAAATTATTGGTTGACTTATTCAGTCACGGCATGACCCTGACCTATTTTGAGGGAATGGTGTTTGTGGACAACGATATGGTCTCCGTCATATAGTGTCAAAGGGTATGTAGATGTATGATGATGTATGTAGTATTCAGCTACACAAGTAATTTTGTCCACTGCCCATGTGACTTTCCCAGCCATCTACTGCGGGATGAGACTCCAAGTGGAGCATCATGGTGAAATGGACACAATCGAAGCACCCCATGCATGGAATGTTTACCAACATTTCAATGATTGAAAACGATTGAGGAGGGGTCACTGTAGATATAAGATGGATGGTTATTTTATAGCGGCCAAGTGCAAAAGTAGTGATGAATCTTTGTACCCCGCGGACGTTCCCACCGAAATGAAGACACTGATTGCTGGCATGGCATCAAGTTTCGGCTCATGGCAGCTGAAGAAACCAGCAAGATGCTGGACTACTGGAGCTTTGAGTCGTACCTTCTAAGAAGGTGGGACTGGGGGCCCAGGTGCCAGTGTCGGGTCCAGTCACAGCGTACCTGAGGATGTAACCATATGGAGCCCCGCATGCGTCGATCGAGGCACCTGTGCCTTCATGGCACCAGAAGTCTGGAAGGGATGCCTCTCGTCGAAGGCGTGTGGACGTGGGCGATGGACGAGGGGGTTCTGAACACCTTGGAGGGCGTGGCAGCCACGCTGAAGCCATTCTGTCGACTCGTTTAAGATACAACTGTTCCGAGTGCCACACCTCTTCAAGCCAACCGGGTGTCTTTATTTAATATCTAAGAGTCTACATGAGGTGCAAAACATCGTTTTCAAGACAGGAGCTTTTGGAGACGATGGCGCCATTGGATCGTTCAGCCTGTTCCAACGGTCCAGTCCTTCCAGCTGGGAGCAGCTCTCTTCCACGCCTCCCGATCGATCGGGTGATACGTTATTAAGTGAATCCCATTCAAACTGGGGGAAAAAGACCCGTTTGAATGGGATTCATGTGCTTTTTCCCGGCTCCTGGACAGGAACCTCCGGGACAACCTCCGTTCAAACGGGTGTTTTTGACCGGTCGCCGTCGGTCTGGAGGCAGACGTCTTCAGCTTGGGTGTGGTCTTTTTCCAGTGTCTCGGGCCAGATGGAGAGGAAAGGGGGGGGCAATGGGCTTCCAAACACGGCACCGCTGTGGATGGTCGTGGTGGTCGTTATACTGTAGTAGTGTCGTTCATGATATTTCAAGGGGGGCAGCCCGGCTCTTTGGATCACCAGTAAGGCTTCTTGAATTGATGTGCACATCTTGATGATGCGCTTGGGCTTTGTGTTGCAAATTCCATGCGAAGACACTATCACCCACTGGGCTTAACGTGTGGGGATCGACGGGGGTAGAGCCCTACATAGCTTGATGAGATTTGACCTGGAAACACAGCTCCAAGCAGAAAGAAATGGTGGTTCATGGTTCGTCCAATGATAGGAATCAGATGCTTCAAGTATGGAAAGATCATGCAGGAGCCGTTTGTGTTTGGTTGGGGGCTGTTATTTGTTTCAGGGAGGCAATCGCAGTTGACACCACAACCTTGTCCGGATGTCCGTTGGTATTTACTTGTGTTCACAGTGGACTGGGTAAAACAAAAATCATCAATCATCTACTGTAACAGCTATGCGCGATATCCAGTTGCTCATAATTCCTGGGCTGGGTTGCTGTTGGTTTATTTTGGTCAAAGAAAACTGATGGCCAATGTCAGTGAGGTACAGGTAAGGTGTCATGCAAAAGGTCCCGAAAGGTCTGCAAAGTGAAAGGTTCCAAAAAGTGGCTTAAAATGATGGGAGCTCAGAGCTCCAGTTAAATTAAGAGTTTAATGTCTATATAATTGTCACTTACTCAAAAGCAAACGTAGTATCCATCAAACAATTAAAACAAAAAAAACACAGCAACAACCTTCATCAGTCCATCGTTTGCCACGGCCGAGGATGCTGGCTGGGAAGTTGCCCTTTAATCCGCCAGACACCATAGACCTGGCCCAGGAGAAGCGAAGACGAGAACCAACGAGTCAGTCGATTTCCTCGTTTGACATGTTCCGATATGTTGGAGGATGACCAGAGATCCTGATCAGTGCTTTTCTCCCCCTGCGGTAAGACACATCAAAGGTTGCCCACAACACACATTGCTACGTCCCTGAGTTCTTTTTTGCAAAGTCGAAGACTGAACCAAAGCCTGAGAAGTGTTCACATATATTATGGGTTGTAGTTTTGCCAAAAGGTTCAGGATTTGAACGTGTTCCCCATCCTAATAGTGGCTATAGTCTCTCCATGTCTCTCCAATCCATTCCCGACTTGGGATGCCAGGAATACTGGGCCATGGAGCCGTTGCCTCCCTGGAATGAAGTGCCGTACACAGCACCTCTGTGTCAAGAGGCCGTCGGGGCAGCTCGAGCGCATGCGCCATGGATGGAATAGTGGCATGACCATCAGGAGAGGGGATTGGATTTCCATGAATTCCTTCACATTTCCTCACAAGCAGGTAGGGGATTTGGTATACCCGTAGTCCTACATGACCGGCCTCATTAGGGTCATCCCGTCCAGTCCGTGCCAGGTCTGTGACTCCCTGCTGCAGGTGCCTCAGGCCTCACGACCTCAGGCCGAGGCGCGGGGACGAGCTCGTGGGAGCCAGAGAAAGAGCAGGGTGCTTTCAGGGCCGGTGGAAGGAAGAATGTGTATAGTGAATCACATGAAATCACCTGTAGCTCCCCAAAAACACACCCGGATTCCACGTGTCAACCTAGGTGATTTGGGCAGAACTTGTTCCCTTGATGTCGTCAGAATGTGTTGGGTTCTCCCCGCCCCGACTCAAACGAATCCCCAATCTGCAGAATCTTTCTCGACCGACCCTCAGATCATGTGGCTTCCCAGACACGACATCCATGGGACTCCCATATTATATGCCGATCAGTTTGCGTGGTGCGGTTTGGGGGGGTCAATTGATCAGCATACATTCCAGTCATATATGGAGTGTTTGGGTTTTATTTCTGCATAGCTTCCACCATCAAAGATGATAAATAACAGCACATAGCTTACGTAGCAGTACCACACTCTCAGACCTGACCACACTCTGACGATACGCATGGAAGGGGATTGTATGGGACCCTGAAAGCCTGGATGGGACCCTGAAAGCCTGGGGATGCCATCCACGAAACCATGTGTTCGGACCTGAGTGCTACTGATGCACCGCTCGGTCCGCAGGTCGGCAGGTCGCTCGACCGACGAGGGATGGGGTCAGTCTTCGGGTTTCTCCGCCTGTACAATCGATGGTACACTCAGCGAAAGCCGAGCGAAACCATCCCATTAATGCAACAAGTGCATCATTGCTATATACATGTATACATACATATTATATATGCCTTTGCAGTTGGCCCTGCCCCGAACTGATTTAGGAGCGCCGCTGGAAGAACAACCAGTCAGCTGTTAGGCTGTACGTGGTGGTTTCACTTTGATCGCCACAAGCCCACTGAACCAGCTGTAGAATATTCCAACTCACACCAAGATCACGCCACAAAAGAAAGACCTGCAAAAGACAGGATAACAAGGGCACCTGGCACCCTGTAACTGTTGTGTTCCGAGTAGTGAAACCTGGAGGATCTCAGTATCAGTTGATGGACAGTGCATGTTCACAGGAAACAGTCGGACCGTTCATGGAGCTGGTCTTTCAAGTTCTACGCATGGGAAATTCGATGGAATTCCCATGTCCGACTTTTTTTTCGGTACACTTGAATGATGACTATAGACTATAGACCAATACTGTTTTGTTGGTTGATGCCATTCTTAATTAGCTGATTTAGCTACTTCGTTAATACCCGGACTCTTTTTTTCGGAGTTCTTCTGGTCTTATCCAAGAACCTATACCTGGGTCCAGCGTTTCTTTTTTTCAGCACCGGACCCGTGTTGTCTTACGTGGTCACGTGTGTCGTCCACCGGGCGAATCCATGCGCGACGAGACTCGCCAGGAGCTTTTGCTTCACCCACTCTTCGCGGATCTGCACGAACATCATCCTGAGGCCAGTCGACAGTAAACAAAAAAGAACAAACAGACACGAGACATGGGATATGGGCATATACGGGCAATTAAATATGGATATATTATTTATCAATTTCTGTATTAATTATTATCCTGATATCTAATAATGTATAGACAGATATCAGTATAGGGTACGCGTAAAAGGACCGTGTTCACCACATTTGACATACAGTTACATTACATTCAGGTCATTTCTTGGTGGATGTTGTTCCACTGAAACTCCGCTGCGGTGCATGCCACCGGTGGCGAATCCTTTTCGTGTTGGGAGGAGTCCACCCATTATGACCGATTTCCAGGGATGGACCAAAATGATGCGAACATGTATGTATATATGGAAGCCGCAGGGGTGCAAATTACTTAGGTCACCTCCAAAAACGTACCTTTTCAACGTCGTCTTGTTTGAAAGCGGCGCAAATTTGGCGAGGCGAAAGTGTTTTGGATTTTGGTTTTGATGAAGAGCAGGTGCGGTTGAGAAGTGGCTTCAAGCTAAGAGAACACATCCATCAAACACCAGGGTTGGAAACCCTCTGAAAAACGATGTTTCAAGACATGTCATTTTTGAAACGGCAAAATCTCCCAACCAAACGGCCTAAATTCCCAACCAAACGGCGAAATTTTTTAGTGCTTTTTTGGAGGGTTTGCAAATAATTAGCTTGAAGGCCTTCCTGCGCATGTTCGGCGAGCTTCCAAGAGAACACATCTATCCCCACAGGCCTGAAATAGGCAACCCGCTGAAACGCAAGTTTTTTGTTGAAACGGCAGAAATTCTTCAAGCGGAATAAAGTTCTTGAGGCTGATGAGGCGGAAGAAATTGTGTACCAGTGGCGTCTCTAGGTATATCCACTCACTTAGGGACTAAACACCACCCCTTTGTGACTGCTGGTTATACAATTTTTGGTTCATGTTCTTCTTTTAAATCCCAGTTTAGAAGGCTTGGCCTCGATTTTTTCAGCTCCACCTTTGGGGTTCGCGACGCTCTCCCTTTTCGCGGCAGGAGGAGACGGTGGCCATCCCGACGCACTACGCTCAGCGCTTGGTGAATTTTGCGGGCAAAGATGCGCCTGGGACTCGCCGGACTCGTTTGGTGGAGCTCCTGGTGGAGCTCCACCAGCGGGTTATATATGTCTAGACTCGTGGGCGGCGCAGCGACTGGTGGATGAAGAGTTGGTTCACTGTGGCACTCCTGAAAACTAACATGGAAGCTGAGAATGGCACCCTGAAAGATTGTTTTCCTTTAGCTGCACCAGTGGTTCTCAGGGTTCATTGTTAGTTTTCGGGTATGTATGTCCGTGTAGTCGTTGGAGTGCGGCGGAGAGTGTTCCTGAGTTTCTTCCCACTTCGTCCACTGCATCTGGGCGCAAATATGGAGCAAAGGCTGGAGGCGCTTCACTTCATGGCGCTTAAGCAGTGGCCGTGGATGTTTTGCATGTCATGTGTATTAATAGGGAGAACCCCCGAGATCTCGGCCCGTCATGTCTGAGTCTTTTCGTCTATTTTCCGAACTGAACCCAGGGTGGACGGTCTCCCTATACTTCAATACACGTCGACATTATATTTTATACAAACGCACATGATCTGTGACATGTGTCTTGCATGGTTGGGCCGTGCAAATGGTTGGTCCATGCCTGGTTCTTTCAACGCCCCGAACGAGCTGTTGGGGCGGCTCGGGTGGATGGGGGGGGCGCTGGTGGCAGCCAAGTGTTTGGGGGTGGTGTCCAATGATGTCTTTTGTTACACACCGTTCCCAATTCTGTGGCAGGGCATCAACAGCCAGTTGTTCTTTGTGAAGCATGTCATCACATCAGCTTCATAGCGAACGAGTCCCTGAACCAGCTTCCTCTCCCAAGACTTGAAGGAGTGTGTGTCTAAGTGACCGAACCAACGGTGATCTCAAAGGTTCGAAGAGCCAGGAATGAAGTCCTTTTTCATCCTTACCCTAAGGGTCCAGGAATATCCTGATGACGTCCTTTGGCCCCTAAGACCACTCTCAGGAAGCACTTTCACTTCCAAGACCATCCTCAGGATGGTCCTGGACCCTTAGGGTTATAGCTAAGCTTGGCTAGTCCATGGAAAACAGGGTCAGAGTCTTCGGCTCTCCAACCTCCTCCCGCCTCTCGCTCGTTCAAAGATGCCCCAGGTGCTCCAGAAATGCATGCGACTCCGCTTGGCACGCGCTTGGTCCTCAAACCAAATGCCCAGTTTCAGGCGATCCGAGAGCCCGAACACGCACCGCGTGCCAGGGGGCCTAATGGGCATGGGTGATAACAGTTCATGAGGTTTTGAGATGGTTTAGTGTGTTTTCTTTATGTTCAGCTTCTACCATGCAGGCGGGAGTAATCAAGTAACAGTTAAACATCACCAAGTTGTTTCTTTTTTTCCAAGTGTTAGTTTGATTGTATCGGCTGTATTGGCCACGGGTCGTCCCATGGCTCTGAGTCCAGGAGCACCGTGCTCCACACCATCGCCGCCCTCCGTGCTCAGTCCTTCGCAGCCTCCGACCGACCGTCGCGGCCAGGCGCCTCTTCGTGGCCTTGGCGCCGCAGGGGCGCTTGCCGCCCGCGCGCCTCGTGGCGGCGCTCTCCTGCTCGGGCCTGGCGGAGCGCTACGGCAGCGCGGCGCTGGTGGCACAGGCGGCGCAGCAGGCGGCCGACGCGCTGGTGGCTTGGTGGAAGGGGGAAGGAGCTGCGATTTGTTTGAGTGGTTTTGGAAGTTGGCAAGGTTTACTTTATATAGTAGTCACAGTGAGTGTGTGGGCTTTCATCACCCAGAGCTTTCAATTGTGGGCCATGCTGGCTTACTGCGTGGAGTGTTTAGACATGTTGCTGTCTTTGGTGGGTGGGGTTTGCAAATAGTTAGTTGCTAGGAAATGCTAGGAAGGAAATGGAATGAATGTATCCAGATACTGATTGAGTTTCATGTAGTGTAGTGTTCACTTATGTTCACTTTGTTAAACTTAAACTTTGTTGAACAGTTTGCAGCTTTTGGAATTGAAAGAACTAAGTCCAACCCTGTTTGATGACCGATGATTCTGTTTAAGCTAATTGAAAGCATGTTTTGAGAAGTCTTGCGAAAACCTGTTCAGTCTTGAAGAGGATTAGCTTGGGAGATGAACTCATCAACCAGTATTTCATATATAAACTTAATTAATATCAATCAAGACGGAATGTTGCATTTTGGGGTGTCTATGACAATTGCATAGGAGCTCAAGATGAACCATCCACAGCTATGTACCAGTTCGAGATCTCAAGTATATAGTTGTATATCATAATTAAATTGTTGTTTCTGTTTCTCCGCAACGGACAACCGGTCTACAGCTCCGTTGCGACCCCATTTGGGGCAAGCGAAGATGGAGCGCCCGCTACGGTGGCCCGAGGTGAACGAGGAGGGCGCCATCAGCTTCACCCTTTTCGTGGCGGCTTTGGCAGTTGCTCGGTCACAGTCTGGTTGTGGTGTGGTGAAGGGTCTTTTGCAGGTTCTCATGGGTTTGATGGAAAGACTGAGAAAAACCAAAAGTCAGGCACAAGAATCAGGCAATAGAGGTAATTTAAATAGGAGATGTTCATGAAATGTCGCATCTGTGGAGCGCTCTGTTGGGATTTTTTTAGCATGTGTAGATTTATGACTTGTATTTGATTCCGCTCTCCGGGATCTCTAAAAACCACACTTTAACACAATCATCAAAGCCAACAAGTGGCCTGATCGAGCATGTGAAACCAGGTGTTGGTTTCAGCATCCTCCGAATTGATAGAACTGTTGGTCAACTCATCAGGCCCCTTTTCAGGCTGTCAAGGGGGGCCCATTTCTCTCATGGGGAGGCGGACCAGGAGGCAGGGTGTCAGGTCAGGTCAAGCAGATGTCAGACATCAAACGTGCAAGTTTTGGTTGCTTCATGGTCATGAAACGGGACATCCAACTGCTTTGGGACATTGATCCACAGGCTGGCACAAGCTCTTACCATTCACCAAACAAGCTCTTACAATTCACCAAGCTCATTCCGATTCGGTGAATGCTTCCCCAGTGACACTGATCTGGACCGGACGGCTGGCGAATCCGCTGTGGGGGGAGTTTTTCTCCCAGCGAAGACTGGGAGTGGTGAAGACCACGGAGCGGGTACCTCGGTAGACTCGAAGGTGGGTCCCCAAATGCGCCCTGCACCATGCACTGGATTACATGGACAGAAGGTTATTTAAATGCCTGTATTGGTTGCTCGCTTGGGGGTATCCCATCCATGAATTGGGTATAGACATTGGGTCTTTGAAGCTTTTCCAGTTGTTGTCATCCTTCGGACAAGTCGAGCAGGGCGTACCATGGCGTACCATGGCGTACCATGGCGCAGAACTGGTCGTTTGACAAGGTTGGTTCACCATTGCAAGGTGAAGCGGGCTTGGGTGAGGGGGAGAGGCTTTTGCCACATGGTGCCAATGAATTCCCTCACAACCCTGCAAGAAACAGATCAGATCACCATGGGTTTCCAAATAAAAGCTGGATCCAGGCTTCTGCAAGGAAGAAGGGTATTGTAAAGACAAGCAAATGACCGCAAGTCATACGGTCACACCAAGCAAGAGATTGCCAGTGATCTCAGAACTTCCCCACCACTACCATAGGGGCAAAATGAGTGAATGAGTGATTGATGCCAAACTATGTGGCTCACCCGAGGATTTGGGCGATCCAAAGTACGAAAACTTCCTCCTACAGAGCTTCGAGCAAGTCGCGGCTCGGACCGCAGCGAGGATGGGATGAAACTCCGATGCCCGTCCTGTACACCCCTTGAAACAATCGGACGTGGATGGGAATGGCCCCTTGGACCATTGGATGGACGGATGACCACACATGTGTCCGAAGACCAAACAGGTGGCCATCCACTTCCATGATGATTTGAGGTTGTGTACGACGCTTTGGACGGACACGCTGCAACGGGGGGGGGTTGTGACCTGTAGAGGATAGGGGGGTTGGCACCCCCTCGACGGCTTTCATGTGAACTTCAATGAAGATCCAGGAAGATTGTGCCCGGAGTGGTTTCCGTTCGTTTGTGCGTTGCTCGTTGGATGGGCTCTTGGCAAGAAGTTCCACAAAAGAAACACGTTGGAATCTCCAAGTGCACAGTGGATTTCGACCGGGCCCTTTCCTTATCGAAAAGCATGTGGTTCGTCCAAGACACTCAATCTCGAAGCCCGCACTCATTTTTGCTGCCACTACTTCAAGTCTTCGCTCCTCCCTGAAGTCTCCTTTCCCACCAAAGGACAAAAAGAACACACCTGGAGGGTCTCCACCAGGGACCATCCTCCTCACCCTGAGGACCATGATGACGACAGTCTTCTGGGCATCGAGGCCAGTCAGTCGGTCCACGTCATGTCCAGCACCTGTTCGTGTTCCGTGTGGATTTTTGTCGGTGCGGAGGGGTGATGTTGGGGTGATGGGTGACAAAGCCATTGGTCTCTCCATCAGCCATGGAGGATGACACCTAGCTTTAGGGTTCCCTATTGGCCAATAGGGATTATTAATAATTTAAACGTCGTCAGCCTTGTCCTCCATGTGTTCCTTAATGTGTTCCTCAATGTGTTCCTCGAGAAATAGCATCATCTATTACAAAATGGTCGTGAATAGCAGCTAAACATGCATCTCATGCAGCTAAACATGCATCTTCACGACTAAAATGACATTGAATTCCTTATTTTCACGAAGTAAAAGCCTATTTTCATCGATAAATATCACGATTAAAACGTCGTCAGCCTTGTCCTCCAAAGTGGTGCTACTACTAGAAAGCCTTATACCTACAACTAGAAAGCCTTATACCTACAACTAAAAGCCAACTAAAAGCCAACTAGTCCAAAGCTAACAGCCTACTAACCAAAGCTAAATCCTACTTATCCAACTATTGAGGCCATAGGGAACCCTAAAGGATTCCCTATTGGCTAGTACAGGGCCATAGGGAACCCTTTAGGCAAGAGTCATTTTGCGAGACTCCTGAGAAACATTGCAGCATGTCTCACTTACCTGCAACTTGGGAATTTGTTCGTTCCCAAGTTGGGCTCGTTCGGTTGAGTATGTGCTTTCCTAAAAAACCAGGGAGAGTCAGAGCCAGTCAGACTAAAGAGTTTCTCGAAGCTGATGGTCACCTTCCCGGTGACTGGACTTGATCCCCTGGTTTGAGCCTGTAAAAGATTGTAAAAGGTCACATATACCAGAACCTCCCTGCCAGGTCACCAATTGAAACCTGTTTTGAAACCTGTTAGGGCCCTTTCCAACCCTCCATTGAAAGGAGACCTGTTGGGTTCGGTGCTGGTAGGGACTTCCAAAATGAACAAGATCACATGGAAGGTCCCGGTACGGTCGAGGAGGACCCCTCAGCCTCTCGGTGAGGTTGTAGTCGTGAAAAGTCAGATGCAGCCTTGCAAACGTTGCAAACATCTTAGTTCAAATCCAAGCGGCTGGCGTTATCTGGCGTTTTCCCTTCACTGGAGCTGAGCTTGGAACTTGGAGGTTGGAACCATCACTTTATTTTGATGGATCATCCATGATGGGCTTTGTGCTTCTGCGACTAGTGAGAGTCTGCTTCTAGAGTTCATGCCGTATGCGGCTGGATTGACTGCTTCGGCGACTTCGTTTTCTCTCCAGGACTTGGCTGAATTGCTCTCTGCTGACATGAAGCGGCATGCCGTCCTGCTGCAGGAGACATGATTGGACATGTTTATTTCTCGATGTTTGGACAGCAAGAAAGTGAGTCATCAAATCCTCACAGCAATATCACCAGCATGCCAAATCAGAAGCTTCCATTTGGGCGGGGAATTAATTATTTTTTTGGGAACCTCACGACTTATATGGTATCTAACACCTATATACCAGGATCATCCAATGGGTGTCCAATAGACTACCCTACCCTACTTCCAGGTTTCCTGACAGGGCACCCGTTAGAAGTGCTAAGTACCTCTTGTTTGATGCCGAACCCATCACATAATCACCCGCCCACCCGACGCCAGGAGTTCATGGTTGCGTTAACCGGCACCTTGGACTGTCAGATGACTTGGTGAGGAGTTCCACGGCAAGACATGCAAACGGAGTGTTTTCATTTTTCTGGGTGGTCTGTCCGAGGTGTGTCTTCTCTTTTGTCCCGGCGTGGCAATGTTGCAAAGGACAAGGAGCTGTGTTTGGGTTCGGGTCAAACAATCTGAACAAACCTTTCTGTCAGCATTGTGATCCAAACACACCAGAAGTGGAGACAGTGCTAGTACAAAGACAGACTCTGAGAGGGTCCCTTATTGTTGTGAGAACAGAGAGTGAGACGCTCTAATTCGGTCAAGTCAGCAATCTTTGGAGAGCCTTTCCACAAGACCCTGCCTATCCACTAGAAGCTTGGAGCCCGTATCTTCGAAACTGCACCCCCTCAACATTTGTAACTTTGCAACCAACATGTTCAACTTCTCACGAACCAAGCAACCAACCAGTAAATCAACCAACATGAATGAGCTTCTCGCCCCATTCAAACATTCGCCGTGTCCACGGACGACGCGTCTTTTAGGTCATGCGTCGCCCGGCACCAAGCTCGAGTGGCGCCAGTTCCTGCGGCACTTCCAAAGCCGTGACGCAGCAGAGGCGGCACCCAGGCGCTGGAAGAGGGAGATCCACTGGGTATGGGTACAGTTGGTATGGAATCCATGGTTCTTCGAGCAGAATTCCGGCCAAATCCATTCTGCCTATTTTGAAAACCAAAGAGATGCAAACAAACATGCGTGACCAAATGATTCATGAATTCTCATAATTCACAAACATTCAAACAGGGGTCCCAGACACTCCATGGGACTGCCATAGGACTGCCAATCAGTTGGGGTGGTGCCAGGGGGGTCAATGGGGCGGCATATATGGCAGTCCCATGGAGTGTCTGGGAGTTCTTGCAATTGTGGGACCAAGTGTGGAGAGAGGAGGGACTCGGACTCGACCCTTTTCATGGCACGCACCGGCGGCACCCCTTCTTTGCGGCAGAAACGTCAAGAGACCTGCCTGCCTGGCCCCTAAGACCTGATTGGTGCAACGGGGGGGTTGTTGGTAGAAACCCTGAAGCCGGCCATGGCGTGTCTCCCTTTGAACATTCTTGAAGAAACCCATGCCCTAGCCTTCAAAGATTAGTTAAAAGATGTTAAAATCAAGGTTGACCTGGACCTGGTACAAACAATAGTAAAACAATGGTTGTAAAGCCCATTAAATCAACGGTGGGTCGAATCCTGGGGCAGAGGTCGGAACTTTCTGGGCCCTTCCTCAGGTTCGGTGCGACTGGACCCAACCCTGGCGCCTACATCAAGAGTCCAAATCAGCTTCCTCAGAGGGTGCCCGTGGATTCAGTGGGCGTTTTGCGCTTTGCACCAAATCCACCAGTCCTTCCACCAGTCCTTCCACCAGTCCTTCCACCCAAACCACCCGGCCTTCCGACTCCAAGACCACTCCCCGACGGCACCGGCAGGGAAGCCTCTGAGTCACGAGCCTCAGCGGCGTCGCACGTCGGTCGGAGCTTCGGAGCTGACGACCGGTTGGTTGGAGCGTTGGGTGAGGCAGTTGTGTCAACCTGGGTGCAACTCCCAGCAAACCCTGACCTGTTGGGTGTGGAGGAACATTCTTCATGTCAGGCAGTTGTGTCCGGATGGGACTTCGGGCAGGACTTGTGTGGGCATGAACCCGACGGTGTCGGCTCCCGACCGACCCGTCGCTGCCCGACGGCTTCTCAGGTCGCCGGAAGCTCCTGACGTGGCCAAAGGCGGGGCCGGTGGCGAGCAGGTCAGGGCGAAGCGGCGGAGCGGTGAAACCCCGGGGCCCTGGGAGTTGGACTGAGCATGTTCTTGTGTTTGGTTTGGACAAACCATAGGGTGCCGCTTGTTTTTTGACCCACTCCCATGAACCACTGCGACGCACAAAGAAACGCCCCAAATTGGCTGCTGGAACTGAGGAAGTAATCATAAGTAATCATACCCTTAAAACTCCTGAAATGAGATAATACTGGGTCCGCTTGTAAGACCATGCATTTGTTTTTTTTTGTGGATTGCGTGATGCTTTCTTTCCCCTGTCCAACCCCGAAACAAGCTTGGGACGTTCTGACAAGAAATGCCGCATTCCTGGCAGTTCCGGGACAGCACACAGCATAGCATGCATAGCACAGCGTATTTGGTGATGTATCACCTTCGCTCTCGTGAGTTGAGTTCCAGGATGTTCCGTTCCAGACTTCTTCCTTCGACACATTGCTGTGTGTACAGTGTACAGCAATGCTGTTTCTGCAAAACAAAGAACACATTGTCCCATTATAATGCCGTGATGATATGCCTTTCATATCTTCGAACAATCACAGGTGCCAAATTCAGATCCCTCTGCATGTCCTGTCCTCTTCTACATCACCCCAAAAAGCAAGCGCAACCAACCCCCTGCAGACCCGGGACCTCGCGGGTGTCCGCCGTGGACGCCGAATCGGCAGGGCCGGACGCCTTCTTCCAACACTTCGCTGGGACCCTGCTGGACCGCGCAGTGGAACAGATGCACCGGGCTGAGGCGAAGGGCGCGAAGCGGGCGCAAGGGAGGCTGGCAGCGACAGGAGTGTGGACAGTGAACGACCTGAAGGACCATGAAACCAATGAGCCTTGGCGATCAATCACGCTAATATATATATATATATATATACACGCTAATATTTGGTGTGTTTCTTGGTGGCGCAAAGACTGCAAAGACTGTTAGCCCAAGTGATCTGAGTCCAGAAACATCTTAAGTCCCATTTTTTCTACCGTACATTGACATGTTTTGCTTTGAAAGTTTCACCATCAAGGCGCCTTCTGGTGCCATCCAAAGGAAGGGGGTGGCACTGTGCCCCACGATCGATCGTCACTGCTCCCAGGTCAGGTCCCTGAGAGGTGCGCCGCGCGGGCGTGCGCGTCGGCGTGGAGGGCGTGGTGCTGAGAGCTTTCGATGTAGACGACGTTCGACCCGTACCAGACGAGTCTCGTTCTGAACGACCCGTTTTTGATCGCCAAGATCACCTAGTACTGTGCCACATACCCATAGTTATACTCTGGACTTGGGATGCTGACTTCAACAGCTGGGAATCTGGGAAGATGAACTCAGGGAAGATGTGCCACGGGAGGTTGCACGCAGCGCAGCAGGTTTTGCGGCGCCCGCCCAGACAACCCACATCCGGCTGGCTGGCTGGTGGTCCAGGCTGGCCATGAAAAATATTGAAAAGGTTGAAAAGGTCAATCTTCCGAATTGGATTGTTGTTTGCGAGCTCCTCATGTGTCAACCACTGTATTGTGGGTGTGCAAGATTTGTTGCTCAGAAATACCAAACAGCTACCTGGCGTATCTAACTGCTGGCGTTGGTGGCAGTTTGGTCATTGTCAGATTTCCCTATTGCTCAACTCTCAAGGTTCGCAAAAGGAGCTATAAGGAGAGCAGTGCGAGGAAATCGCACCATGCAAACCACCGTGCCAGGTAGCAAATCGCTGAGCGAATTCGCATGGCCACAGCGAGGGCGGAGGGCCTTGTTTTTTTGCAAATTTTTGCAAAGCGGCGGGCACTGAAACGGAACCCAAAAGTCGGAAGTGGAATTCGGAAGCCTTGAAAATGACCAGTTGCCTTTAAGATCGCACCTTTTGGGTCAGATGGATCGCACCTTTTGGGTTCAGATGTCAGTTGCCCCATCTCTTTTTCGGCCGTGGCTTTTTGCTCCGTCGATTGGACGCGCACGCAACGAAGCTGTTTTTTGGCCGCAGAAGCTTCGCAGAAGGGGTGAGTGAGGGTGCAGCGAGACATTGCTCAGATCGCTAAGGAATTCGTGCCCTGGACAATGCAAAGCAATGTAGGGTAGTCCATTGGACACCCAGACAGGATGGTCCTGGTAGGGATAAACATCTGGTGAGTTTTTGGGGTTTGCGGACTCTAAGAACAGCATTGGATCCATTGCAGCCACAACAGGTCTGGGCTCTTTTACTGCTGAACGTCCTGTAATTCATAGAAATTTTCAATCTTTGCCCGACAGCAACAAGAACAACCAAAAGCACCCTGTTTGCATCTATTTGCGTATACCGTATATCTACAACATGTTTTATATATTATTGTTCTTAATCGCTCAGCCCTGCCGCGCTTTGGAATTCGCTGAGCTGCTTTTTTTCGATATGTCAGATCTGACTGTCGCGCGAGCTTTGGGTGCAGGCAAAGCGAGCCGAACTGGGCACCAAGTCTTGAGAAGATCTCGTGTGGGTGACCTGGGTTCAACTCGTGGCAACCTACGGAAGATGTTGGGGACTACATTTCTTCAAGAATGTGTTCGTTCAGCCGGGGATGTGAGGAGGGATGTGCTGTGATGTGCTCCCTTATTACAAGGAGTGTTTGAGGAGTCACTCCTTGAGCACTGTGTAGTTCTAAGACCTGTTTGCCTTCAGCACTTACGAAGCGGTCCAAGGATGTTGGAGGTTAGAGTCAGCGTAACTGAAAAGGTACACATAAGGTAAACAAGGTTCGTCTCAAAAAGGATTGGAAACACAAACCACCCTCCAGGAGAACTCATTCACCCTTCCGGGGTTCCCCTTTCATCAGCGCGCCGCTTGCACTGCTTGCACCGCTTGCAACTTGACCGGCCTGGAGGGGGAGCGGAGCACTTGGTGACAGCGCCCCCCCCCTTCGATCTCGCGGTTTTGCCGGTGCGAATTGGCTTGCCTTCAGGATTGAAGAGAAGCTCTGACTAGATATGGTAGGGCCAGAGAAAAGGGAGATCAGGGCTGGAATATCCTGGAATCCCAAGCTGAAAGACATGTTTGATTCAAAATTGTTATTCAGTTCAGCCACTCTATGTTTTTGTGGTACTGTAGATTCCGAACAGAAACCGTTGTTTAAAAGGCAATCGTCCAAACGCTCTCTTTTTCCAGGGGATGGTTGGGGCAGTGTGGGAGTCAGAGTCTTGCTGCGATGATGCGCTATATAAGGGCAATATTGCTGGATTATCGTGCACTAGGAATAGATCATTGATGGCAAAATGCTTAAACTTGGAAGATGTGACCATACCATACCCCACGATGGGGACTTGCAGGGATGGTGCCAAGGATGGTGCGAAGGAACTGGGAACACACTGACCAGATTTGGGTGGGCGTGTTGTTTGCATTTGAAGGTGGACTCTGGGTAAGAGATGTAATAAGAGGACATGCCAAAGGTAGCAATTCAGGTCAAGGAATTCATGGAACATCGCTATGAGGTTGGAGGCCATTGTTATTAGGTTGAAATTCCTTCATCTTCAGCCAGGCTCGCGACCCATGAGCATCTTGACTGAACTTGGGTATACGGCCGCGGTGGACTTTGGCCGCGTTGCTCGTCGGATGGCCGAACGTTGAGCCATTCCCAGCGGTTCCAAGGGGTGCCGAACGAACGGAGGGTGCCATGCGGCCCCTGTCACATTCACTCACTGGTCATGGGACTATTACGTACAAACAATTCCTTTGGAACTGCTGGTCATGGCTTGGTCAGAGACTAATTAGATACAAATTAGGATAATTAGGTATACTTCGCCAACATCAAATCCTTTGACCAGCCCACCCACTGTGCAGTCATTTGATTCAAGAAGCTGAGTGGAGGAGAGGGCTACAGCAGTGCAGCAGAAGTAGGACTTTAGATGATGAAGCCGGACTGCAGATGAGAATGTTAGCAGGGCCAGGGCTCAGGGCTCAAGCTAGCGGAGAAATGGCGAAACTAGATGAAACTAGAATAAACTATAGGATCAGTTTCGATCCTTTCTTTTTACAGAATCATGTTTGACCCTACTAATTGTGTAAAACGGATGTCACACGGATGAACACCTCCCAAGGCGAGGCACACCGCGACTCGCTGACGGACGTGTGGCGCTTCATGGAGGACGTCCACGTGTGGCGCGTGTGGCGCGTCGCTTCGCTTCGGCTGGAGGATGGTGGATATCCACCGTCCCTGCCATCCATGACTGGAGGATGGTGCCAACTGGAGGATGTTGTTTTTTTTTGTTCCAAGGGAATTCTGCGTGGATGCGTGCGGCAATGCAGATGGATGAATGGGGGATATGGTCGATCATTTTTGGGGGTGATGTCATGTAGGCTGTGGAGATTCCCACAAGTTCTGGTGGAATGGTGTAGCAGCTAGTAGCATGTCCTTCAGGTCGTTGTGATGTTTGTTTCAGGGTCCAGGGTCCTGTGATTGTGCAATAAGTTCATGCAGGAAGATGGACACCCTGTGTTGCCTGTGAAACTTGAGGGAATTTATCTAGTTGACTCAGGGACATTCAGGGGAGTTGTGCCATGTTAGCGCAGCTGTTCTGGGATATTCAGGTGGGTCGGCCCTGGTGTGATTCATGTAGATTCATCAAGAACTTGGGCTGTGAGATCAAATCCCTGACCCTGCAAATTCATAGCCGCAGGGTTTTAGTTCTTAAATGGAGGGTCTCCAGACACGATTTCTTGTCAAACCATACTCTCAAGGGCACAGAGTCATCCAGAGTCTGGAACAAAAAAAAACTTACTGACAACATGGCCAACATGTGGTTTGGTGGTGCTTTCCTTAAGTTGGGTACATCATGGCCATGTCCAAATATCTTGGCATCGACTCCAGGACGGCCTGTGTTGTCCCAGTCCCAAGATGAATTACCCAGAAACTGTTCATTTCTTGTTCCAATAATGTTCAATATGTACTGTATTATACTGTCTTGTTTGTTTCTATTATGGCTTTCGAAAGAGATCCTTTACACGGAGTAGCTCCAAGCTACTTGGGAAAGATGATGGCCACGCCTGAGGGTTTTTGAGTTTATGCATACCATCAATATATATATTCTCATTTTTTGTCAGAAGCCACCGAAACCTGCAGAGAAGTTGGCTCACAGACTTTTTTTTCGGAGTGGTCGCCGCCATGGACCTGCAATCTCTGGCCGTGTTCACAACTCTTGAAACTTATCTCAGGCGGGTTTCCACGTGATTTCCGTGCTAGAAACTCATGGAGATTTGATTTATATTTATTATCTTTGGTGCCTCGATCTTCAAGGGCCTTAGATCATATGACTGCTGAAGCAGCGAAGATGTGGACAGCAATGGACAACCAGATTTGGGACAGTAACTCGTTGGTCCTTACTATTGGTTTTTTGAGGGCTTTGGATTGTTTTAATGTTCTAAGTTTCGCCAATCCACTATAACCGTTTTACTTTGAGAAGACCATATGTTGACAAATGTTCAATTTCAAAACATAGTGCTTGAAGCTGATGTAGTGGTTTCGTTTTCCACCATGTCAGGCATCCTTTGTACTTTTTGGCAGATCACAATTGAGCAATTCCCAAGAAAATCCTCTGAATCTAGGTGCATTGGGATTGAAGCAAAGATTTCACAACATCTTTTGTTTGGCAGCATTGTTTTTTATCGTCGACCCCCCCGCTATTCGGATCATTTACCGTTCCTGGTTTTCTGACGGGGTGTCTCCAGAATTCCAATGTAGCTACAAAAGAGCCTTCCGAACAGTGATCTGAGGCAAGGCACTTGTGCATTTGTTACCCAGTACCTTGGGCACAAAAAGTTATAGGGGGTAACCATCAGATGGCATCCTCTGAGACCCTTTGATATGCCATCCACTTATGATCTAGGCGCCCGACGTGCCATCAAGTATTTGTGCCAAGATAGCAGAACATGTAGATGGCATACACAAAGGCCAAGGCCCAAAACCACTAAAAAAGATGCAACCAAACGTCGCCAAATGTCCTTTGATATTTGGAAGGCACGTGCACAAAAAGGGAATAGTTGATGGCACAGGCCAGAATGTCACTTGTGTGGGGCGACTTCGGGTAAATCGCCACAATGATTCCAAAAAGGAAAAGGGAAAAGGCAAGGAGCAATGGAAGAAGGAAGGTAGGAGACGAAAGAAGGAGATAAGAGGAAGGGGAAGAGAGAGAGAGAGAGAGAGAGAGAGAGAGAGAGGGGAAGAGAGAGAGAGAGAGGGGAAGAGAGAGAGGGG